TAATGGAGTTAATACAAATTTGGTGGTACACCACACAAATCCAATTATATATATCCATTAGGGTATTCTTGTCCACAATACGCTGTTTTAAGGAAAAATTACATTCAAATTTTTTAAAATTTTTCACTTAATTACTTAGGCTCCTTAATATTGAAAATACTATATGCAGACCTATTAAAATTTGTACGCGCGTAACACTGAAACCTTGTTGTCAATGTCCGTTAATATATTCATTAGTAAATTACACTAAGTTCTTTGAAGTTTATAGACGTGTAATACTTAAACTTTTAAAATTTAAAATATTATACTTACACCTCTTATTAGTTACGAAAACAAACGGAATCTATTTAATGATCAAATTATCCCAATTAAATATAGAAGATATTATATTCATTACAATTTAACCATTTGTTTGATTTCAATAGATAGTATAATTATATGCAAATAAGTGTTGCATTGAGTTCTTTGATATTTATATTGATTACTATTTTTTTAAAAAAAAATTGGATAATATAATGGAACATACAAATATATTGATTAGATTTATTTTATATATTCGTACTTGATGATGAAAAAATTGATCTAAAATAAAAAGTTCATTTAGGCCACTTATGCAACTCANTAATATAATGGAACATACAAATATATTGATTAGATTTATTTTATATATTCGTACTTGATGATGAAAAAATTGATCTAAAATAAAAAGTTCATTTAGGCCACTTATGCAACTCATAACTTCTAAATGCAATTCATACCTTTGAGTTATTTATTGACTTAGACGTCGAAGAATCAACTCCCAAAATTACCCTTCAGTCTCCAACTTCTTGTTCAAGTGATCAAAATCCAATAAATTGGCATAGCGATCATTCAAATTTTAGCATAAACAATACTAATATGATTTTTTTTAAAAAAAACAAAATTTGAAATAAATGACATAATATAACATAAATTTTGATTATAAAATTTAAAATATTTGATATTCTACCTTTAATTGAAACATTTTAGATCTAAATATAATATTTTAAACTTAAGTGGTCTAAATATTACACGCTTCAAATTTCAAATTCCTAAATATAATTTACTAATAAATATATTAACGAACATTAACAACAAGAATTTATGTGTTAACCTCATAGAATCTGTATATGATATTTTCAATAGAGCAATGCTATAAAGACTTTATTTAGAGAATCTTATTTACAGACCTAATAATGTAATTTTAATGTAACTATTATATTATTTTAGGATCTTATTTAGAGACCTATTTAAAGAATCTTGATGATTAATTGATAAACCTCAAGTATGATTGCAATTTTTCCTTTATTGATCATCCTAATTTTAAAAAACAAAGATAATAATAAAATCAATTTTGGCAGAATAAAAAATTCCAAGCTGGCACTTGGAAAAAATATTAGCTATGCAAGGGCCCACAGCCCAATATTTCCACAGCTACCACAGCACGTTGTTCTTCTATAATTCACACACGACCCCTTCAAAGTCCAGCAACCCACCCACTCTTCCGCCCACGCACCATTTCGCAGACCGTGTGTGCTCCGGCCTCCGAGACGCACCGGAAACTGCCGCTAATGGTCGCCATGGCTGGCCAATCCCACCTCTCTCTCATCTCTTTCTTCACTCTAATCCTTCTTGTTCATTCAAAGCTAAATCTTGACCCTTCAGATCATGAAGCTCTGTTAATCATTCAAAAAGAGTTGGGCTTCAATGGTCAACACCATGTTCGAAACCCACCATGCAACTTCGCCGGAGTATTCTGTGAAAGGAGGATTTTCAACAATTCATACACCCTCAAAGTGACTCGTATTGTTCTCAAATCCCGGCAGCTCCGAGGAGTTTTATCCCCGGTAATCGGAAAATTGTCGGAGCTCAAAGAGCTCTCTCTTCCTAACAACCATCTCGTCAATCAAATCCCACCTCAAATAGTTGATTGCCGTAAATTGGAGATTCTAAATCTCCATAACAACCGATTTTCCGGCGAAGTTCCTTCTGACTTATCATCACTAATCCGTCTTCGAGTCGTTGACCTTTCTTCCAACAAGTTTTCCGGGAATCTAAATTGCTTGAAATATTTTCCCAACCTGGAAAAACTCTCACTTGCCGATAATATGTTCGTCGGAAAAGTCCCTCCATCATTGAAATCTTTTCGCAATCTTCGTTTCTTCAACATTTCTGGAAATAGTTTCCTTGAAGGTCCAGTGCCAGTGATGAACAATATCGAGTATTCATCATCAGAGTTGAAGGCAAAGAACACTGTTCCAAAACGTTACATTTTAGCTGAAAATTCAACCAGAAGCAATCAAACTTCAGCAATGGCGCCTTCAAACACTGCTGAAGCTCCTTCACCCACTGCGACGCCACCTGAACATAAGAAGAAGAAGAAGAAGAAGAAGGTAGGCGCATGGATCCTTGGATTCCTAACCGGAGGATTTGCCGGGACTATTTCCGGGTTGGTGTTTTCAGTGCTTTTCAAGCTACTATTCGTCTTGTTTAAGGGCGTAGAGAAGGAACCGGGTCCAGCAATTTACAGTCCTCTGATCAAGAAAGCCGAGGACTTGGATTTCCTGGAGAAAGAAGATGGATTGGCATCCCTTGAAATCATTGGACGAGGCGGGTGCGGCGAAGTTTACAAGGCAGAGTTACCAGGAAGTAACGGAAAGATGATCGCTATCAAGAAGATAATTCAACCACCCAAGGATGCTGAGGAGTTAACCGAAGAAGATAGCAAGCTTATGAACAAGAAAATGCGTCAGATTAAATCAGAAATTCAAACTGTGGGTCGGATTCGACACCGGAATCTACTTCCTCTACTAGCCCATGTGTCACGACCGAAATGCCATTACCTTGTGTATGAATTCATGAAGAATGGCAGCTTACAAGATATGCTCCACCAAGTTTCGCTAGGGAATAGAGAACTGGATTGGCTGGCAAGGCACCGGATAGCACTGGGTGTTGCAGCAGGACTTGAGCATCTCCACATGAACAATTCGCCGCGTATAATTCACAGGGATCTCAAACCAGCAAACATTCTTCTTGACGATGACATGGAAGCTCGAATTGCAGATTTTGGACTTGCAAAATCAGTCCCGGATGCTCTGACACACGTCACGACTTCCAACGTGGCTGGAACGGTGGGATACATAGCACCGGAGTATCACCAGACGCTGAAGTTCACAGACAAGTGCGATATATACAGCTTTGGGGTGTTGCTAGGGGTGTTGGTGACGGGCAAGCTTCCCTCAGATGACTTTTTCCAGCACACAACAGAGATGAGTCTGGTGAAATGGCTGAGAAATGTGATGACTTCTGAGGATCCAAATAGAGCAATTGATCCAAAGCTGATTGGAAATGGATATGAAGAGCAGATGCTTCTGGTGCTGAAAATTGCTTGCTTTTGCACTCTTGATAATCCAAAAGAGAGGCCTAACAGCAAGGATGTCAGGTGTATGTTGTCTCAGATCCAGAATCAGATATGATGGGAACATTGAATAACTGTTTAAGAATAATGATGTATGTGATTAAGAATTTTCTCTCCAGCATAAAAATTGTACCTCAAAGCTGCAAAAGCATGTGATTCTCAGTAGTACCAAACTGTCATGTACCCTTATATTTGATGAAAATGGCATTTCCTGATTGATTATCATCTCTTGTGCATAGACTCCTTTCTTAAACTTTGTCTACGGCTAGGCCTCAAACATCATCTTCTTGTAAGGCAGAATAATCCATAAAGCGCAGCCCACACCAAGCTCCCACCAGCTATGAACTCCTAATTTGACAGCACTTCCAACAGTTCGCACACAAGGATATTGCATGTAAGATCACAGGAGTTTTGTAGATCACTAAGCATAAAGAATCATCAAGCCCAGGTCTGGGATGTTTGCCTAGAGTCAAATGCACGTAAACTTACTCCGCATGTGCAGACACTATTTCTGTGATGCAAATTCATCACCCAGTCAAAATGGAATAACACGACTACTAAGTGAAGGCCTGCACTCAAAAGGCAGAATAAACTATATTCACATTAAAAAAAAGGCCTGAAAAACTTGAGCCAAGAGGCACAAAGGGAGAAAAGAAGTAAAATGCCAACTTCCGAGTAACAATCCGTTTTTGAGAACTATGTAACACTGATATTCCTGATCATCATTACAACTCAACATACTATCCCCTGTTCTTTCAGCTTGAGCAGCTTGGTGAGCCACAAATACATATGCCCTAAGAAATTATTACAATTGAGAAATACATACAAGTAGATGCCATGTGACAAATATCCCGCAAGATGTGGAAGGACTCTTCGTCCAATTCAGTTCTCTTGCAGTATTGTTCTACTAGAGATTGTCAGCCTGTTGCTCATAAGATGCAGTTCCATCCTACTCCTATGGACCATTTGACGGGCAAACTCAAAGTGTATGAAGAGACTTTGTTACAGCAGCGATCTTCTTTCCTTGTAAGAAATGTGCAATGCCCTTACAAGCAGCTGCCATGTAATAAATCTGAGGAACAACCTAAGGACCAATAAAAATCAAAGAGAAAAACTTCCGAATTCCCACCATGAAAAACCGTCTAACATAATTTATAATGAGACATGAATGGCTATGCCCCAATCAAGTGTTTATCAAAGTGGAGAGAGAGGTCAGTAAATGAAAATCTCAAGCGTTAAATGACAAATCATGACATATGCTAGCACCTCCTAAAGTTTTTAGGCAAATATAACTTGATTCCACTGTAGTAAACAATGTTGTCCACTTAGTGTTTGGTTTTGAAAGCATTTTCATGGTTGGCTCCCTCATAAGCTTTTCAGCCTCCTGTAAGAGTACACTATTCTGCATTTGAATTAGAAATAGGGAAGTCTTGCAAAATGTAGCCACAAGTCGAGGACTGGAATTTGGTCCCAGGTTTGGGTCTTCTAACTTATTAAACAAATGTTGCCCCAAGAATTTAGAATTCCTTGCAAAAAAGGGGCTGCACGGGATCTGTCGTTTTTCTGTGAATTTTCAATAGACAAAACCACCAAACTACAGTCACTCAGGCTGATTCTGTGCTTCAGACTCTAAAGCTTGCCATGACAAAGCCTCCTGTTACCAGGCATTGGGAAATGCTATGGAAGTTGCAACAAATCAAGTTTGACATACTTTCAGCATGCTTTAATCTTTTTACCTTCTTACAGAATATGGGTTTTGTGTTTTTCAACTCAGTTTCCCCTCTAATTGCAATTTCTGTGGTATTACACGAGATTTTGAAGATGCGTAATACAGGTGCCACATGTCACAGGAGATACACAGGACACCAATGACTTCCATTTGCATGCATACAATCACATGGTGAACAAGGAAGCAAGTTATTAACAATCATGATTTCTTTCATATGGAAAGATTTCAAAGACTTGTAAAATGATCAAAGTCTTCCACAAGACCAGTTGGTAAGCAATAAAATCCATCTTCCACAAGACCAGTTGGGGTGCAGTACCTTCCAGGGGAAAACACTTGGATGAATTAACTATCCTAATAGAGATTATCGACCAAAATTAAGTCACAAAATATTATAGTATTGCAAAATCACTGATTCTAAATCAAAAATCTTAACATGTTAAAAGGAATAAAGAAACTACCTATGTCACAAAAGTCTAACAATTGTAAACCAATGGAGTGACTGATACAACTATTATTGGAGTACCTCAAAAATCTAAAAGTAACTGGGGAAGAATCCTCTCCAGATGAGTTGCTTCTATTTTATTAACACCCTCAGCTTCAGCAATAGTAGCAGCACGTTGAATAGCCTCTACGTCAATATTAACAACAATATAAGCTATCAAGAGTTTGAGGTACAATGCAAAAACTAACAAGATCATCAATTTTATTTTCAACAGGAAAACCTGTGACAAAGACTCTAAGAAGTTCACAGCTCAGCTTTACTGCATTTGCATTAGCTGCATCAATGTACAAAGAAGAAAGAATTACAATAAAAAAGGTGCTTATAAAAATCCCCACTTTAGATACTTATCCTCGTGGCAATGAATAGCAAACCACAAAGTGAAAGGGAAAACACAATTTATTTGGGATCCTACCGATATCTAATAGTGATCTAATATTACCAAAGCATTAAACTTGCAGCATGAAGATCTCCGTGTAACATATTTAAAATAATAAATGTTAATGAAACTGGCCACTGCGATACAAAACAAAGTAATGGAAGCACGAAATCAAAAACACTTACATACAGTTGTAGTACAAGAAACTTAAAAAATATGTGGAAATTTTTGTGGAATACAATACATTTGGTGAACGTGAAATTGTGAATCCTACATTATTGAACCATTTATATAACAAAAGAGCAAAAAACCTAGAAATATCAAAGATATATCATACTTAAAGCTTGCAGACTTTCTAGCATAGGAAATCTTTCTGCAAAGTTTTTTATTTTTCGTACCAGAGGTAGGCCGATGTTTCTTAGATGTTCCAGCTCCTACCTGCAAAATCAAATATCTGGAAACCATCAAGCATATGGCAAACTCAGAAATAAAGAGAATAGTTGAAATAACCCCCCCCCCCCAAAAAAAAAAAAAAAAAAAAAAAAACCTAAAAAAAAAACCTGACATTAATCCATCATGTGTCCAACATTTGATGCATTCACATAGTGGCTCCTCCCAACCCATTAAGAACCTCACTAACTGGTGAATATTACTAGGGGTGCAAATCGGGCGAGTTGAGAGATCAATCCTAGCCCAAGATATATAATCTTCAACTCTAACTCTGACCCTAACTCAACTCGAATATTGCCTGAGTTTAATTCGGATGGGATCGGGTTGAATTTGGGCTGATTTCGAGTTAAAAATTGGGTTGGACTTGGATTACGTAATTCTGGTTGATTTTTTGAAGCGTAGATTTAATTTTTTCAATTGTAGATCTGATTTTTTCAAGTGATCTGACATGAAGGGCGAAGCGCAGATGAAGAAAGAGGGAGTGAGAGAGGGACGAGTAATGGGTGAGAAAGGGAGGCTGAGACGACTAAGACTAGTGATGATTGAGAGACGGAAGAGTGACGAATGAGAGGGGATCTAAGAGTGATGGAGGCGCAGGGGTGAAGATTTGAAGTAAAGTGAATGTTAGGACTTTAAATAATGAGGATAAATACTAACCCTAATTAAATATATTTATATATTTATGTATATTCAGGTTCAACCCGATTTTAATATTCGGGTTAAACCCGATAACCCGAGACTTGTCCAAATTCAATTCGAGTTGAGGTTTTTTGTCCAAGTCCAACCCAAGTATTAAAAATTCTAACTCAAGCTATTTTTTGGGTTGGGCTCGGGTTGGCCCGCTCAAGTTGCACCCCTAAATATTATTAACATCTGAAATGTAATTTTCAATAGACCATCTAATAGCTAATTGACAATACACATAAAATGATAAGGTACAATGCCAAATAGATACCAATGCAACAGAAAAGAATATTTCTTTTACAAACTAAGAGGAAAATGATTGACTGCGTAAGGATAGACACCTTTGCCAACTTCCAAAGTGCATTACATAAGTACCAATCAATAGTCAAGCCAATAGACTTGAGGGAGCAAGATCAAAATAACCCTGACAAAGCACTGACATGACATTCAAAATTGAGAGGTCAAATTATGGCTTCAAAATAAAAGACGATGCAGTCGGCTTTGAAGAATGGGATATTAGCTAGACAGAATGATATGATAAGGCTACAATTATAGCAGTGAGGATGAGGTTAACACAAATAAGAGACAAGTGAAGTTCAATTACAATATGCTTAGATCAGTTTGTTGCCTTCAACAACACATTGACACACAGATCGTTTTGTATGTTGTTTGTGAACAATTTAGCACAAACCATTATGTTGATCTTGAATCAACAATATGTACAAGAAACCGAAGAAATGAAGAGATTAAACAACATTGTCGATGAAATTGGAGCAATATGGATTCAGTAGGTTGGTGCAATTGGAGAATTGAGCATGCCATTACCATCCAATATCAATATAAAGGATGGTAAGTTCACAAGACAAACACAAGATGAACCTTATTAAATGAGGAAACTTGGGAATATAAAACATGCCTGTAAATAAGCCTCGCCTAAATGATGATGGTAGAGAGACAAAGGATAATAATAGAAATGATACTCTTATTTACTCCTAAGAAGCTAAGGGAAGCACAAGTTGAGGATAGAGTGAAGAGAAGTAGTCTAAAACATGGGCTGGTCATTTGCATTGAAGGATAATTGCTGCATCTATATGCAGTGAATTGATTTTAGCTAAGGCACTACAAGGATAAGTAGAAGGGCAGATGAACAAGGCTCAAACACAATGAAAAGATATAATGGTTTATGGTTTTACAAAGGATTCAGGAAACATACTCCAAGTAATACTGATAAATAGCATCATAATTGCATGAAATTCCAATAATTATGAAAATTAGAAACAGAATGGTGGCGAAGGGAGTTCCGGTGTTTGAATATCCAAGAAACAAAAAGTTTCCTAATATGCACTCTGTTCAAGAATGAGCAATGTTTTGAGTGGGACTTCCACAAAAGTAGTTGGCTAGTTAGGTACTATTCCATCATCATGAACCAAATTTTCCAGCTCATCATGCGGAAAATACAAAGTAATACCAATAGAAGAGGGGAAAAAAAGTAGAGGATGATCAAATGAAATTTATACTCTGTCTTGCCATCATTCCCTCCTTTCTATTTCTTCCCTGAAAGAAAAAAACTCCGACAAAAACTGAAATTTAGAAGTGCATTTGGGAAGATAGGGGAATCAAAAATCAGTAACTGCCCTGACATCCAAGGAATTATACACCTTCATTTAAAAAAAAAGATTCTAAAGATTCTCTGTAGTGTAAAAGTAGAGTTACATTAACAGTCTTAACTGTACCAGCCTACCAAGCAAACAAATTCATAGTGAACTCAGATTAACCAACAAAATCTTGTTCCAACTAATTGGATTGCCAATAAATACTATTCCGCCGATGAGCTATGTCTAGGGCCACTTCCTTTATTACACCAATGTAACAACGAGAAGCCAAGTATTACAATTCGCAGCCTAAACAATAGTTATATCTAATAATTTACGCAAAGAGAGTCAAGCTTGCAGCCAGTCACTAATATAATACAATGAAACAACTAAGGCACATGTAATAGACGGTATTCAATACTGATCAAACAAGAATGTTTGACACTCACATAAATCATACATGTACACATACACCAATGGTGTGTTTGGTTGGGTGGATAGAAAGTGAGTGTGATATACTTTATATTCTTCAACAGAGGAATCCTCCCTTTGCTCTTTTGTCTTTGGTAGGAGGAATGGAAAGTAAGAAAGATTGATTTTTTTGCGTTTGGTTAAATGGAAAAGTGGAAGGATGAAAAAATATAAATGCATATTTTATCATTATATTTATATATAAAATTAATGCATACAATATGTAATAAATAACTGTGATATATACATATATTAAATAATATATAGGTGAATAATATACATTTCAACACACATAATTAATTTTTTATTCACATTTTCTCTCAATTTTGGAGGGATAAATTTTGGTGAATTGAAAAAAAAGCTAATTCATTACTTTGTCATCCTTCTTATTTTACTTCTTTACCAAATATAATGTTTTATCTACCCTCTAATTTTTCATTCTTCCATTTTCCATCATACCAAATGAAGCATTAAGGAACGTATACATATGATACATAAACTGGTTGATTGACTTTAATGCAAATTTCATGGCCAGGTCGAGCAACAATTGAGAAAAATTCATCCTTTTTAAGTGTAATTTCTACATCTAATACAAGTTGAGTTAGCATATCAAAGATCACAAAAGAGAAACGAAAAATTGTAGAGAAGCAATTGAATTGTACCTCAACCTCCGTAGTCTCGGCACCTTCGTCTTTCTCACGCTCTGCAGTGAACTCAACACAGCACAATTAAAAAAAATTAACATAGGAAAACCAACAATTTTGAAGATTTTGAAAGAAAATCGAACCGAGAGCTCTTTTGCGCCATACATATTTGAAAATCGCATGAATTAGATCCTGTTAATGCACATAAAACGATACAAAATTCTCAGTTCTATACCCGATTCAAACTATTCATAATGCAATGACAAACTGAAGAATCTAAACAGGGAAAATTAGGGTTTTTACCGGATCAAAAGTGTTTTCCATTGAGAGAAACCGCAAACGGGAGACTGTATGTGAAGAAATAAGAAGCCCCCTATTTCTTGTAGAGCTCAGTGGTAGTGGTAGAGAGCGAGTCATAATAAAT